TAGGCCCCAGCTGTGAAATCATAGCTGGGGCCAAACTTTGCTGTTAGGTGAATGCACATGGCTCCCATTTTCTTCAAAGGGAATGACACACATGGCCAATATTTAACTTTCACCTCTTCCATTCTTCAGCTAGCAAAGCCAGAACCAATGCAGGCAATTTAATAGAATTAAGAACACAATCAAGATTTTTCAGGACTTATGAGTGATTTGGGCTATATAATTCAATACACCTCAAAGCGCAGATGCTCAGCATATTCTGAAAATCAGGCCATCTCAAATATCTTACTTTGAGCAAGTAAAATCATAAATCACTTTGAGAATTTTGGCCATCGGATCCTAACAACAAAGAAGGGGTAGGATACCTCTTCAAGATCGTAAGCTCAAATCTCCGGGTTGGCTGGGTTGCCTGGGAGACTTACCACATCCCAACCCATTTTGGGTATTGCATTTGCACACATTTCTCCCTTGTCATTACCATTAAGGGACTTGAACACAGTGCAGATGCCCTTCTGCAGCAGCCTTCCCCTCAAGAAAATCTAGGTTCTGCTTCTGCAGATCCCCTGGGATGGACTGGACTGCTGGGATGGCCCACAAGACTCTGAGGCGCAAGTGCCACAGAGAGAAAAAAGGATAAGACCCAAAAATCTAGCTGCCCCATGGTGTATGCAGATCTTCCTTTCAACTCAAGGTCAAGTGGAAAACTTTCCTACCATCCTTGCTGACTCTCCTCTTCGCTTTCCCCCAACTCCATCTGTTCCTCACCCGTCTCCTTCGTTCAGCACTCGCCTCCCTCTTTTTCCTGTGTCCATCTGTTCCCTCCTTCCTCAACGCAAGTTGGGGAAGGGAAGTAAATTCAATCATTCACTGAACAGATTTTAAGATGAACCCCCTCCCTCTCCAGTTCTAACTTCATTCATCATGGTAAAAATTATAATGAATAGAAATGTTGAAGGTGAAAATTTATTAGGGATTGTGTTGTTTTCTTATATCAAAAGCAGTTAAAGCTGCATATCAACATTGGCTTCATTCATTTTTTTTAATATATGGTATAATTAGTGAGAAATATTAGTGGAAGTGCTTGCTATGCAGTCCATCAACACATGCCTGTCAGAGTTTAGGATCTAGGCCAAAATTTCTTGCCAGTCCTGTGATAGATTTATAATAAGCCTATAGAAGGCTTTACAGTCAGCTGGGTCACTAATTCATGAAGTTAAAACATATGCAATGAGGTAAAAAATTCACTATTGATAAAATACCCCCTCCAGGGATTGTACCATTAGCTTTGTTACTGCAGCAGCAAAAAAAAGTAAACCCAAAGCTCCTGTGAATTACCAGTCCATCATCATAAATCAGAAGAGAAGCACTTGCACAGGTTCATGATGTCATATGAAGACCAAAATATATTTATATCCTTGTTTACTCTTTCCTGTTTCCCTAGGACAAAAATAAACAGTCTCTAAATCCCATGTATCCTTATGCCTGAGCTCAGCAAAATGTAATGGGCATGAAACCATGAAAGCACCCATGATGTATTTGTCTCGAGCAGGTTGCTTTGGGTTGGCTGTGATGCCCGCTCTCCCTCTGGCCTCTCCTACATGGATGAGACCAGTTCCCACGGAGTCTGCTTCATCTGCTGCACTCACTGTAGGGACAGTCCCACCTCCTACTTTGCCTTCCTGACCCTGGGAGAGACAAGGAAGGGAGATTTAAGCCTCCAAGCCCTATGCAGGGAGTGGATAGCCTGGCAAGTGCAGCAGAGGTGGAGGAGCTTGGTACCCATGTGGGGACCTGGGCTTGCCACCACGAGGACCTTGGCCATCTTGTCCACCAAGAAGGCTAAGCCATAGAGTTTGGAGCTTGGGGGTGCAGTTTCCTCCCGCCTCCTTTGCTGATGATTTAGGAATCTCATCTAAGGTTTCTGAAGTGCTTGGGCATGGATGATTCCCCACATTTCATTGCAGACCTCCCAGCTCTCAAACTTTCTGTACCCACCTGAAACAGGAACTTCTGTGTTTGCCAGTGATCCTCTTCCCCTCTTCTCACATGAAACTTTCTCTCTTAGCAATTTGTTTTTCTTGTGGCTTCCTTTCCAGAAATTAGACAGGGAGTAGCAGAAACAGTACACCATCCCACGTAACCTCCCCCTGCAAGGAAGCACACTTGCTTTTATTTGCCCCCAAAGCAACAACTCCTGAAGTCAATGACTGTCACTAAGTGGCTGGGGGTGATACATGTGCCACACCACATTTATTTACAGTGTCCCTCTGCAATGTTGTTTTGGTTTTCCCCCAAGATCAGCTCCCTGCCCCTCCCAGTGCTCCCCAGGGTGATGCTGAGCAGTGAGGACCATGCAGGTAAGCTGCTGGCCCCATGTGTGTGTCGCACCATGCAGAGGTACCCCTGGCATCCCCTCCCATAGCTGCTGGCAGACAAATTATGTCCTTTAGGACTGGCAAGAAAAAGTATTTTGGTTTTATTTTTACTTTTTCTTTTTTGAAACATGGCCATAGAAACCCAGGGTTTGGGTTTCATGAGTCTTTTAAAACCAAGTGAGTTCAGTTTAAGCCTTTATACTTACAAGTTAGCACCCATCGGTTCTCATGTAGCTCCACCTGCTTCATCTCAGAACTGAACGGACATGACACACAGCTCTTTCAGAGTCGAGCACGTGATGTATTAAATAGGTATTGACAGTGGTGCATGGGTTAACGAGTGGCAGGGAGATTGGCCAGGTGTTCCTTTGGTTCTTCTGCTGCACTGATATACAAAGATGCCTCACAGTGAAATTAAAAATTTATACATCCTAAACTGCTAGAGTTCTCCACACAGTTCACCACTAACCCTTGGGACTCATTGCCACAGGGGCATGAGGCCAAGGGCCACTGCCATGATGGGTTGGGAACAAATGCTGCCAACAAGTAGAGCCACAGACTCCCTTGTCATTTGCTTGTCAGATGTGTATGAGCCCTACATGGGGTGACAGATCAGTTCTCTTCCTTCTCCCCCTAACGAGTTGCTCCAGACAGCTCTGTGGCATTACCCATATTGCTGCAGTCCCCATCCAACAGAACAGAACACCTCTTATCCCCCACTCCTTGCCAAAACCAGACTTAGAGCCATTATATGCCACTGTATAAAAGCTAATTTTAAAAGTTGGAGAGGGACTTTTTACAAGGACCTGGAGTGATAGGACAAGGGCTGATGGCTTTAAACTGAAAGAGAGTAGACTTAGATTAGATATAAGGAAGAAATTCTTCATTCTGAGGGTGATGAGGCACTGGATCAGGTTGCCCAGAGAAGCTGTGGGTGCCCCTTCCCTGGAAGAGTTCAAGGCAAGGTTGAGTGGGGCTTTGAGCAACCTGGTCTAGTGGAAGGTGTCCCTGCCCATGGCAGGGGGGGTGGAACTAGGGGATCTTTAAGGTCCGTTCCAACCCAAACCATTCTGTGATTGCATGATTCTCTTCTCTGGGGCTGCAAGACCCTGGTTTGTGCCTGAGAAATAGGAACCAGGGGACCCACTGTAAATGCCGGTTTTGGTATCACTGCTGCTCGCTATTAACCAGAGGGATCTGGGGCTGGCATCAGTAGAAAGTAAGTGATTTTTTTTTTGTGCTTTCATGAATTTAGACACTGTGGTCAACAGCCCAAGTGACCCAGCTTAAAAAAAAAAAATAGACATTTCTTTTGAGTATTGAGACTATCTCTGTCTTTAATACAAACATGGGTGAACAATCCCAGTCTTCTACTGCAACGGTCCAGGCAAATGCCCGCTTCCCCAGTTAAGGAAGAAAGTTGCTACTTCAGGATACTATTTAAAAATGGCACTTTGTGGGGTTTTACCTCTAGCTGCCTCTGCCTAACACTGAATAGCCTGAGCTTTCTTCACTATGGTATGCTTATTTTTCCATTTTAATTCACTTCAGTGGGTGATTTTTACACAATAAAAACACAGGCATTTGTGGATATCTAAAACTGAACACAGGCTCTTAAAAGACAGTAACAAAGTTCGACCCTCTGCCCATCTCTAATTGTAATTTATCTTTTTTTACATTCTCATTTAATGGTAATCATAAATAATATCAGTTGTACAAAATATATTTTTAAAGCCTATTTGGCTCCGCATATTTCTTCCAATCTCTCAACCCACTACTGTTCCACGCAGCAACAAACTATAAAAGAAAAAAACCTGCTAACCACTTTTTTTTTTTATGCTGGTCTAGCATAATCTTTATTTCTTTAGGCACTTTGTGCAAACATTAAATTGATAAAAGACATAATGTAGATGGACCCACAGCTGAACTGAAGGTAATTGCATAAAAATGAAATGGAGACCTATAATTGTACACTGCTTTAGCCTCTATCGCACTGTTTTCTGGAAGCAAGGATCTTGCTTGTCATAGCAAGTTGCTTGTTACAGTGATTGCATGAAGACTTGATCTAGCTGTACAAGACAAGTATAACATTACTTAAAGGGAGCTTTTCAAACTAAGAGTCTGACACTAAAATGTGCTGTATTTTCAAAGATGTAGTATGCTTTAACAAACAGAAGAGTCCTTGAATGACAGCTTTTGTTACCCTTTTGTTTGATGGTGCTGTATTGAAAAAATCAGGTTATGTCTATGCCTTTCTATTTCTGGTTTTGATTTCTCTTCAACAGCACTTCAAGAACAAAAATTGACTCGAAGCATGAATAGTAGAAGTCAGTGGATACAGTAAATGTTAATCTGGCATTTACTGATTACTTCTGTCTAATCTTTTTCTCATCTTGTTTGTCAAACGCTTAAATACATTCTGCGGGACATTGTGTTGTTGCAGAAGTGGGGAACTCAACAGATACGTTGCGATTTAAACTATATCCTGTTTAGACTTTTGGGCCAATTTTGATAGTGGAAAATGATAGAAACCGTCATTCTTACCTAGGCCTTTCCATCTGATCTGTGTGTATTCAACTGCTCAGCCTGTGCGCAGCGCTCAGCCTGGACAAACAAGATCCATTTGTAAGATTGGCACCTGGGTAATAGGTGGAGCATGTGTCTTTTGGACTCACAAATCAATTATTATCCAATAAATCCAATGCATAAGCAGGACATTGCTTCCTCCAGAGCTCTGCTACTTCAATTAACACAACTTTTCCTGGAGACAGTATGTTAGTGAATGAAAGTGCAGGAAAAATTGTGGTATGCCATTGATTTATAAACATTAGGAAACAGTGGTTGCTGTACGTGGAAGTGCATCCAAAATGCATGAATTTTCACATTTTGCACTCAAGACACTGGCCAAGAAGTCAGAGGGGCAAAACAAAGCTGCATTTACCTACTCAGGGAGGAAAATCGTCAACAAATTATCACAGGTGGGCAAGATCAGACACACTTTGCCCAGGATGCTGGTTTCCTATGACCAAGTGTGCAACCTGCAGGTGAGCACCTCTGTGCTTTGCACTGCTGGTTCACACCAGGAGGAGCCACCGCCTCTCCTGCCCTTCTCAAGTCTCCCCTGAGGCTTTCCTTTGTCATAACACTCACAAAACGTGACAGTTCTAGGTTTCTGAGACTCCTTTCTGTGCCACTGCTGTCTCACTGTCTCCTTCCCTCCGCTTCTCTCTATCCCACTAGTTGCTCCCTGCCGAAGGCCAACCTGTAAACTCTCTGGGACAGGGAAAAATCCACATTTCCTTCACAGTAGACTTTGTCATTATTACAAGCTCAAAATCAAGCCAAAACATCTGCCAACACACATTTTTAAAGCAGTGATTTAAAGTTAAAATGAAAATAGTAGCTTAGTATTTCTTCTTATCCTCTCCCAGGGTCTTACTCTGCTAACCTCTACCTACCTTTTCTGCTTCTGCATATTCCCCCACAAGATGATAATCTAAAATGACAGGAATTACGACTATGAGTAAAAACTTACATGAGTTGCTCACTCATTTTGTAATTAAATAGAATCACAGAAATCATAGAAAAATTAAGCTTGGAAGGGACTTCTAGAAGTCACCTCATCTGGTATCTGCCTTAGCTAAGGGCTAACTCTGCAGTAAGAGCAGGTTTCTGGGGTCCATTTTCAGCTGACCTCTCCACACTTCCCCAGCCTCACCGGAGTCTGCCCCAGTGCTTTATCCCTTCCATGATGAAGAATTTGTCCATATGCAATCCCAATTGCCCTTCCTGCAGCCTGTGACAGTGGCCTCTTGTCCTTTCACCTCTGTGCACTGCTGGGAGGAGTTGGGGTCTGGCTTCCCCATTACCCTGGTTATGAAGTGGAAAACAGCATCTAGCACCGTTCTTTGCCTTCTCTTCTCCAGGCCAACCAAGCCTAGCTCCCTCAGCCTCTCCTCATACATCAGGAGCTCCAGACCCGTCACCACCTTGGTGGCCTTCATTGGACTTGCTCCAGATACCAGTTAGACCTCAAATCCTTGCTTCCCTCACTTTGAGACAAATGGTCCCAGTTGTTTTTCACCTGCCTTGCAATCCACCCATCCCATTCACATTTCCTCCTTTTGGCTGCAAGGACACTGCGGGACACAACTGCAGCCTCCACAAGGTTTCACTCTCTGTCAGCCTTTTCTTGGCTTTTCTTGAATACATGTCAGGGGTCAAAGGCACCTGAAAAATAAAAGATATGCAGGGTTTCTCTTCTGGCTCCTTGCAGCAGAGCGCAGGCTAGCTGCTTTAGAGCACTTACTGTTCGTCTCAGAAAGTAATGTTTGCAAAACTGAGGGGTTTGTAAAGATTGATTATCTGTATATAGCTCAAGAGCAAGCATATCACAAGATTTAAGTAAGATAAAAAGTGAGGCTGTGCTTGATGTGAGGAGCAGGAGTTAATCAGCTGTAGATAAGAATTGATGAGGTTTTATCATCCCAGCCATAGAGAGAATGACTGCATTTCTTGGCCTCTTGATCACTTTGGAGAGTAAGTGAAACTATATATCAACCCATGTTTATCGGTGCCTGAGAAGTTTTTCAAGAATAAATTGAGCTCAGAACTCTTCTTAACCTTTCCCCTAGTTGGGGCTTAAAATTAAGCCCTCCCTCTGATTTCTGAGCTGCCTCTCTGGCATGCTGACAGCATGTGAGGTATCCCATCTTCTAGTTGACTTCCAGGCCAACACCACAAGTGTGGATGAAGTTACGCAATAACGAATCTGGATGTTAAACAGAGACCATCTGGCTCGCTTTGCTGCAAGATTATGAGCCATGGAGAGCTGGCACATCTGCATCTAGGTACCACCTACACACACATTGTTGGCTGTAAATTTAGGGAAACAGAGCTGCTGTTGAAAACTAACAAGATAATTGTTTTGCCTTCTTTTATATCACAAATTGAAGTTAGGGTTTCCCACTTGAAATAGATGTTGACTGAGGCAGTAGTTCTGTTCTGTCTCCTAACCTGATCCCACCCAGCGGAAGTGAATTATTCCTTAGCCTCTAAGTCCACTGGGTTTAAGAGAAAACCTTAGAGTGCAAGTTCACAAATACTTAACTATGAATAAGCTTTACTTACATAAAGAGGCTGAAATCATTAGGTATAGGGTTAGGCCTTGGAAGTAAACAACGGTAGGCTTGGAAATTCTGCATATGTTATTCTTTCAGATCTTTGTCTTAATATCACAAACAAATGTGGTTTGTTTTTTTTCCTAATCCCACCAGATAACCAGCTTACAAATGAAAAGCATACAGATGAAAAGCCTATGAAAGGTATTGTTATGAGTTCTGTGGCAGAATTCAGCATCACAGACACTTCATCAAAGGGTACCAAAACCCAGAAGCAATTGTCAGATGCGAGCACATCGTCCATTGCTTCCCTGGAGAAATGCAGAGAATTCACCTACATTGAAGATGACGGATCAGTACATCAGAGAGACAGTGACGGTACGTTTTATAAAACAGATTACATTTAAACTGATTTCTAAATAATGCCCATTGCAAGAGCCCTGTGTGTATCTAACTTTAAATAAATGCTTACATGCTGAACAGGAGGTTCAAGAACATAGCCAAAAGCAGCATTAAGTTGCTCTGCAGACATTTTTGTGATAGTTGAGAATCTGTAGAACATGATCTTCAATTGCCAGTGATATTAAAGTCATGGAAGAGGAGCCTAGAACCGATGGTGCAACAGAGCATTTGTACTTTTGTAATGAGTGTTTGCACAGGGGTACTAGTGTTGGTATCAGACAAGCAGAGCATTTCACATGGACCCACTTCTCCCCAGTAGGTTGTTGCTTTTGCTACTGGTACTGCAGCAGCTGCTATTGTTGTTGAACTGATGCTGTGTTTGGTGGTCTGCATATTACTTCTCTGGTCTTGTACGTGTAGTTCTTGTACGGACCATCACATCCAACCCTCCCATTCTGCTGACCCACCACCAAATCCCCCTCTGCTGCCTACACTGCAAAGCTCACATGGGTCAGGACGAGGAGCAATCTTCCTTCTCTTCCCTGCTTCTGCAGGAAACTGTCTTTGATGCCTGGGCCTGGTGGATGTACGTGGGTAGAGTTTTGGTTAGGTCAGCATGCTCCACATCTTGAAAAAGCAGATTTGAAAACAAAGAGCTGTGAAAGGCAGCTACAAACCAAAATTGCAGCAGAGGCCAAATAGTTCAGTGCATTTTTGCAAATGAACATTGCTAAAACATAACTTGCTCTGGAACTATTAACCAGAGCTGTCTTACCTTTTCAGAAAAGGAGATGATCCTTTTTGTTGTGTAAAAGCTTCAAGTTAAAGAGCCAAATACCTGCATTATTTTTCTAAGAGTTTCCGAGGCAATAGTATATAACCAAGAGTTAAGGAATAGAATGGGTTGTGAACACTCATTAAAGACCAAGGGGCATGACTCCTGCTAATCTAAATGATATAACGCTCCTGATTTTAGTGGAATTATGCTGAGAACCAGCTATACCTTGTTATTCCAATGGATATGAAAAAAGTGTTTCTCTGAAACATCTTTAAAGTTTCTTATGTGCACCTTTTTCAACAACAGATTAGTGTGTTATATCCAGCGGAGTTGGAATCTAGCGCATATATCATATCAGCAATCCCAGAATTAAGAACTTCTAAATACAGATCAACACAACAAACCACAATGCTCTCCAAGAGCCATTACCATCTGCACTGCATCGCTGATCCTGTAATAAAAGGGATGTCCCTGATACATCTATTAGAATGCATTTCATTTCAACGAAGGATCTGAAATATTTATTTCATTTAGGGGACTCGCCCGCTAGCCCAGACACTCGCTGTGTTCTGAGTTTGCTGACTACCCGATCAGGCCCCTCAACCATTACTGGCACACAGGTGTGGAGCACGTGATGCAAATAACAGATTTCATACTCCTTAAAAAATCTAAAAGTGAAGGAAACTAACAAAGAATAAAAAAAAAAAAAACAATCTGTGCTCAATTAATAATGTTAAGGGTTGGATGGAAGCCAAGAAAACCAAAGGAAGCCAGATTTGTGGTTGTCACTGCATACTCTGCTCACTCTACTCTGACAAGTTACTGCTTATTCCACACACGCGAGGCCAAAGCCTGTTCGCTGGTGCATGGAGAACCTCTGAAGGCAGCATGATAGCTGAGGAAATCGGCGATTATTTTGTTCCCTGTGCTCAGAGAGGAGCAGATCCCAAGCTCATGGGTCTCACCAGGGGCGACCGTTGTGGCCTCAGCGTGCTCTGGACCGAGTTGATTCAGAGCATCATCTGCATGAGCAGAGGGTGAGCTGGCAGCCACCAAGCAAGAGCAGGAAAATTTAGAGATGAGGCAGGCTAGCAAAATTATTAGAAGTTCTTCTTTTGTGGTAATTAATCTACTAATGTGGAGAATGAGAGCTGAGGTCGTTGTTCTCACTGAGATAAATGCAGTAATGCCGTTTCGCAAACAGCAGGGAAAACAGAAGAGAAAACAGGAGATTGCATCTTCTTTTATGCAGGTTGTGGCTAATTTATTTTCAAATATATAAATGAATACACAGGAATGGATGTTTAATTGCTAATATCTATTATTTATATACATTACCCCACTTAAAACGGGACAAAAAAGCCTCACACATGCAGATTTTTCGAAATGTGTTACATCCATTATCACAGTTCATGGTGTGTGCTCTGATGGGAATTTAAAAGCATCTTTACTGCACATCACAGACTCTGTGCTGAAACATTACTTTATTATTAAAATCTTGTGCTTTTTGTGTGCTCTCTTTCCTGGGTGAAGCCCTAAGAATCATATCTATTCTCTCAAGATTACATAAGCACCATTATGGTTAACACATTCAGGAAAAAAACTGTTATTAGAAAACAGAGCTTTGGAGAGAAAAAAAAAAAATCGAAAGATCCTTAATTGATATATAATTTTGAATTTCATCTCTCACATCTGTGTATAGGAAGGAAATTTCATAAACATAAGATATCTAAAAAGAATAGTCTTAATTACACATGGACTACTGGATAAAATGATTACATTTTCTACACTGTAAATTTCATACAATTAAATGCAGCAGTGTCACCTTATAAAATGTTTCAATTTTATAATTATTTCAGTTCATTTAATTAGAAAAAAATATAAGCATGAATTTACTAAGTATCACCGAAATCTAGTCATTCTTATTCTACAGAACTGACTTAGAAGTTAGTTGTGCTTGTCTGAACTTAAATAGATCTTGACATATTTAAATAAGTATTAAAATTGATAACATTGGTGATGATATGCTACTTAGAAAGAAGTTCAATCACATGCTATTTGTTCTTGGTTTAACTGCTTTATAAAGAAGCTGGAATGATTTTTATTTTTTTTTTTAGTTTTGTTTTTCATCAAGAAAGCATTCTTAAAAAGAAAAAAAAAAATAGCATAATTCTGGAAACTTCCTGGCAGTGAACTTTATGTTACGTGAGATAGAAAATGCCACAACAGAACCAATGCAGTTGAATGAGTTCACAGTTAGTCATCCTAGGGCAAGAAATGTGGTTATAACCATATGCTTTCCTGAAAGAACCAATGAAAAGGCATTCATATTGTTGAAGGCATTTTTCCTTTCCAAAAACAAGGAGGGAAAAAAAAATAAAATTGAAAGGTCTGGGTCTTTGCGCTCCAACTGGATTCACACAGTCAGAATCTCACACCTGCTCCGAGCCTTGCTGCACGGGGAGGCAGCCTCCCCAGATGCCGTACTCTGAGTGGCGGGGAGTTAATTAGTTGGGTTTTGAGGGGAACAAATATAACACAAAGTTTTTGTCAGGGTGACCAAGTTTTCAAGAATATTCCCTGGCTCCAGACGCACATCCTAGCTGCTGCTATCTTCCAAACTTTTGTCCCCTTTCAAAAATTGACAAGTCTGACTGTGAAAAGGTGAGAAATGCATTTCAGTGGGGAAGTGGAAGGACCCAGAGCTGAGGATCAATCAGCACACTGCCCTCTGTAAATGCTGTTCTCTGGACTTGCTTTTCCCCCCTGGCTTTGGGTAGGCAACCTAGCTGTCATCAAACGTTTTACTGAAACAGGCTACTTGCAGAAATCAAACTATAAGCAGATGAGGAATCTGTGCTCTTTTTTTCCCCCATGTGTGTGGGTTTGGTCTTGTCCATAAGATCATCTCCGTCCTTACCCAGATGCCGTATCGAGTTTGTGCACCAGGGACGCGCATCCAGACTGATCACATAGGAAAGCAGGCACTAGACCCGGAGAGTCTGAGGGCTGGATCCACTCTCCATGAAAGCTTTGGGTGTTTGTGCCCCGACTTCCAGCAAGGATTGATTCAGACCGTAACAGATTTACAGCCCAGAAAGGAATGGTTTAAATAAGAAGGATTCAGTTCTAAACTGTTCGTATGCAGGCAAAAATGCCCCTGAAAGTTGGTTTTGGGGTTGGGTTTTTTTTTTTTTTTTTTTGGGGGGGGGGTTTAATGCCTTCCTGGAAATAGCAGGAGCAGCCTGATGACTTTTATCTTTAATTTGCAAACTCCTGCGAAAAAGAACATAAACTCCAGCATCACGTGCATTGGCCAGGTAACACAGGTGGCATCACAAAGCACTTCCAAACTCCTGCAAGACTGCAACCCCCCCAGCAGAGCACCCCAGTCGAATCCGGTGCTGAAATTTATAGCCCAAATGCTTCAAGTGTATAGAATCATAGAACCATTTAGGCTAGAAAAGACCTTTAAGATCATCAAGTCCAACTGTAAAGTTGGTTCTGAGTATGTGTTCCTCTGAACTCCGCTGCCACAGAATATTGTCATTCAAATTATTTTCATGCCGCCGTTGTTTTTCCAGAATAAACAACATAGAAAATAAATCCTTTTGTTTGACTTCATGGAAGTAGTTATCATCAATGTATTTTTAGCCCACCCTGTGTGCTGTCTTGCATGTCATTTCTGTGTAGTCACACTAGTCTGAACCTGGGTAATCAAGCACACCCTTTTTCTTATATCTCACTGCTTTTCCTTTTTCTTAGATGAATGTGCAACACTTATCCTGGCCTGCTTGTTCTGCCAATTTTGGGACTTTCTTATAATGCTGCCTGATACCTGTGAACATTGGCTGACAGATACCTGTTGTCCATCCAATAGATACTACCAGACCTCCAACGAAGACCACGCCAACAACGACTGCAACTGTGACTGTGACATTGATTGCAGCCTTTTTGAGTCCTGCCACGAGACTGGTGAATGCCTGGAACTTGCCATGGAGATTTCTGAAATCTGCTATCGCTAATAGGAAAATAAGTGACAAAATTCCTCAAATTTGCCTGAAAGTGAACTGACAGAGAACAGAGGAGTTTTGTTTTGGGTTTGTTTGTTTTTTTTTTTTTAAGATAACATTAATAACCAGAGCGTTTGCCAACCAGGACTATGTGCATCACGCTGCTCCCACCCTGGAGGTCTGTACATCTGTACCATTCTGGTTGTATGATTTCACAAACTGCTGAAACCAATGAAGGGGAAAACCAGGTCTTCTCCTTTGCCATAGACAACAACAGAATTCCTAAGTGCCAAGTGTGCTCGGTGTTTTACCCACTGTCAATCCAAGGCTTTTATAAACCTCTAATTGCTTTAAACACGGATTTCCCCATTCATAAACACAGGACAAATTAGGACATTATTTGAGGACCGATATATATTAGTTCATCTTCCTAATGGATTCATACCTAAACATGTATTACACATTGTTGGTTATTATTAATAATGTATGATAGAGCATCATTTTATAATTAAAAATTTATTTATTCAATCTCTTAAAACACACTTATATGCTCAGTTTAGGTAGAAAAGAAAATTAAATGAATTAGAAACCATGCTAGCGGTAATTACAGCAAATGTCTCTAAAAATCTCCAGTGAATTTTGTAGAGGAAGCATTTTAACAGGGTAGTGCCATTCGGCAGTGTATTAATGTGCCTGCCTATGGTTGTGTAATAACAGGTTAGGCCCACTGTTCATTAGTTATAGGAAAGGGCTCCTTAAGTGTAATTAGCCTAAATGGGAATTGACTGCAGACTTCCAAAGGAGAATCACCCCATGGGTAGCCAGGAACTCCTTTGCCTGATTTTCATTTGTAAGATTTCTGCAAGCAGCAGAATATTGCCACCTATTCTAGTGGAAACCAGAATCTCCACCTGGGCATGAAAGATTACAGAATGACAGCATCTGTCCTGGCTGCACTTTCAAACTCCCTCTATCTCTTTTCTGATGGCAGGTCTGATTAATAAAAAGGAAACACATCTTGCACATTAGACATGTGACAACAAAAGCATGTAAAATCAGCTGCCCGAGGGTGCAAAACACACGTATTCAGCACAGAGGAAAACACGGAGTTGCTTGCTCACGTTAGGTATTTATAGACGAGCACCAAAGACAGTGTTTGCTTTGTATAGGCACTAAAATATTCCCCCAAACCCCACTGATCTCAGTGCAGAAGTGCCTGGGGAATCCCAAACAAGAATCCTGGACAAGATGCTGGGATACTCAGCATCGCTGAAATCATTGAAGCCACTTGTTTAATAATCTGAGTTTCAAATCTGTAGTCCTGACACACAAATATTTAATGGGAAAAAAAAAATTGTGTGAACTTC